AACAAAAAACCCAGAATCTCCAAAACGATCCTGTACAACAACAGATCATCTGGAGGTATCTCCATTCCCGATCTCAAGCTGTACTACAGGGCAACAGTAATAAAAACTGCATGGTATTGGCATAGAAACAGAAAGGAGGATCAATGGAACTGCATAGAAGACCCAGAAATAAACCCACACACCTATGAATACTCAATATTTGACAAAGAAGCCAAATCCATTCAATGGAAAAAAGACAGCATCTTCAACAAATGGTGCTGGACCAACTAGATGTCTACATGCAGAAAAATGAAAATAGATCCATATTTATCACCCTGCACAAAACTAAAGTCCAAGTGGATCAAGGACCTCAACATAAAACCAGATACTCTAAATCAGTTGGAAAAAAAAAAGTGGGGAACAGCCTAGAGCTCATTGGTACAGGAGACAACTTCCTGAACAGAACACCAACAGCACAGGCTCTAAGAGCAACAATCAATAAATGGGACCTCATGAAACTGAAAAGCTTCTGTAAAGCAAAAGACACTGTCATCAAAACAAATAGACAGCCTACAGATTGGGAAAGAATCTTCACCAACCCTTTATCTGACAGAGGGCTAATATCCAGTATATATAAAGAACTAAAGAAGCAGAAAAGCAACAAACCTAGTAATCCAATTAAAAAATGGGGAACAGAGCTAAACAGAGAATTCTCGAAAGAGGAACATCGAATGGCAGAGAAACACTTAAAGAAATGCTCAACCTCATTAGCCATTAGGGAAATGCAAATCAAAACGACCCTGAGATTTCACCATCAGAATGGCCAAGATGAAAAACTCAAGTGATAGCACATGCTGGAGAGGTTGTGGAGAAAAGGGAACCCTCCTCCATTGCTGGTGGGAATGTAAACTGGTTCAACCACTTTGGAAGTCAATCTGGCACTTTCTCAGACAACTAGGAGTAGTGCTACCTCAAGACCCAGCTATACCACTCCTAGGTATATACCCAAAATTTGCTCAAGTACACAACAAGGACATTTGTTCAACCATGTTCGTAGCAGCTTTATTTGTAATAGCCAGAACTTGGAAACAACCCAGATGTCCATCAACGGAGGAATGGATACAGAAATTGTGGTATTTTTACACAATGGAATACTACTCAGCAATCAAAAAGGAGGAAATCATGAAATTTGCAGGCAAGTGGTGGGATCTAGAAAAGATCATTCTGAGTGAAGTATCCCAGAAGGAGAAAGACAAACTTGGTATATACTCGCTTATATAGACCTACAAGATTTGATAAACATAATGAAATCTACACACCTAAAGAAGATAATCAAGAAAGTGGACACAGGCGAAGGTGATTAATCCTCATTTAGAAAGACAAATGGGATGTGCATTGAACGTATGACAGGAGTCTACCACAAAAGGCATCTGAAAGACTCTACCTAGCAGTGTTTCAAAGCAGACACTAAGACTCATAACCAAACCCTCGGCAGAGTGCAGGGAATCATATGAAAGAAGGGAAGTTAGTATGATATGGAAAGGATCGGAGCTCTACAAGGACCAAATATATCCGGGCACAGGGTCTTTTCTGAGACTGACACTCAACCAAGGACCATCTATGGATATAACCTAGAACTTCTGCTCGGATGTGGCCCGTGGTAGCTCAGTAACCAAGTAGTTTTCCAAAGTAAGGGGAACACGGACTATTTCTAACAGGATCTCAAGGGCAGGCTGTTTGACCCCCCCCCCCCCAGGGGAGGAGCAGTCTGTTAGGCCACAGAGGAGGACTTTGCAGCCAGCCCTGAAGATACCTGATAAAACAGGGTCAAATGAAAGGGGAGGAGGTCCTCCCCTATCAGTGGACTTGGAAAGGGGCAGGGAGGAGACCAGGGAGGGAGTGTGGGGTTGGGGAGGGAATGAGGGAGCGGGATACAGCTGGGACACAGAGTTAACAAAATGTAACTAAAAAGAAAAATTAAATTAAAAAAAATGCAAAAAAAAAAAAAAAGAAGCTGAGGGATGAACATCATGAGTTAGGATCTGCTTGACTTTTTAAAATTATATCAGCCACTATTAAATTTCTCTGAAATTTTTCTAAATTGTTTGTGATTTCTTGAAGCTCACTGAGCTTCGCATAAGCAGCTTTATTTTTTTAATTGTCAGGCTGACCATTTATCCTCAAAGCTTTTGTGTTGGTCACTGTCACCTTAATCTGCTTTCTTGGGGACATCTTGGTTTTTTGTTTTTTGTTTTTTTTTTTTGTTTTTTTTTTAATGTTCTTGATCTTTGCTGCCATATAAAAACATTTGAACATGAAATGTGTAAATATTCATTCCATACTGCACAGCCCGGCTTTTTCTAGAACTACCCTCCCACAGAAAGCCTGTCTTGAATGCTAAGCAGACAACTGCCGCACCATAGCAAGCGCTTACCTCAGGACGTTATAGCTGCTGTGAGCCTCACCTGCATTCTTCATTTGTAACTGAACCCTCGTGAGACTACCCATATTTGTAATGTTTTCTGACACCATCAGAACAAGTCAACTGTGAGAAGTACCTTCACAATGATGGGGGAGCCACTATGGAAATGATGGATCCAGGGAAGACCTGGAGAAAGCTCCACAGGCTTCGTGGAATGATTCAAGCAGCATCATTCATCCTGCTGGCAGAAGGAGTGCCAAAGCTTGCATCCAAACTTACGGGATGTTTGGGATGAGGATCTCGCCTCTTGGTAGATTCAGGATAGATTTCTGTGACTCCAGGAGACACCAAAGAACTCCTGCTCTGCCATTCTGCTGAAGACACTCTTGTCTTGATGTTTCTTTCTGTCTTTTCATTGAATTTAATTTTTTAATTTTTTTTCAGATATGAGCTTGTGGCATGTGTGCATGTTCACAAGTGCATGCGTGTGTAGGTGTACATGTATGTGTGTTCATTGCATGTGGACCTCTGAGAGTGGTGCTGGGTGTCTTCCTCGAGCTCTTCACCTTGAGGCAGTCTCATGGACTCACTGCTCTGACTAGTCAGGGTACCAGCTTACCCATGGGCTCTGTTGTGTCTGACTACTGTGCTGTGATTATAGGCAGGGCACTAAATGTGTCAAAAAAAAAAGAAAAAAAGAAAAAACACTAAACACTCAGTGAAATTCACCCCGTGATGCCTCAACTTCAACAGTACTAACTGAGATGAATAAAGTTTGCTATATGGTTTGCCAATGCTCAAGGCAAATAAGACATCTTGGTTTGGCCATTTGACGCCAATTTTGAGAGTGGTGATAATGAGATGTCTTGTTTGTTTGTTGAGACAAGGTTTCTCTGTGTAATGGAGTCCTGGCTGTGCTGTCCTGGACTTGCTTTGTAGAACTGGCTGGCCTCAAACTTAAAGATATCCACCTGCCTCTGTCTCCTTTGGGAGGAATTAAGGCTTGCCCCACCACTCCCGGCTAAAGAAAAGTCTTATTAGGCATATGTTGAGTATTCAGAACCCATTCTTCAACCAAGTACCCTATGTCAGCAGTGGACACAGGATAAATGAGCTACCTCTGGATTTAAGAAACTCTGTTGGAAGACTGTGATTGACAAGAATCTTTGTTGTTTGACTTATATCTCATGGCTGTTCCTGTATTTGTTCAGATTAATATACACACAGTATAAGGTACCCAGAATAGCACAAACCCACCTTCCCATGGCTAGCAGACAAGCAAGCATCGCTCTATTATCTTTGGCCATTTAGACTAGTAGTGTGCTTGTTGTATTAAAAATAATACATTATTCAGCCTTTGAACATGACTTGAAAAGGCTACCAGGTGCTAGTTGACAGTTGTGCTTTCAGTGGGACAAAAGCTCCTATGCTCATGTCAACATTGCTGACTTCTATGTCTGTGAACAGCCCTAATGATAAGACTAAATGTTATTCATTTGCCCAGAGTTCTTGGATTGACATAAATTAACAAGTTTCTGGTAGGTTACCAATTATGAGAGATCCTAATAGGAACAGTGTGAACTGGGGTATGATTTTATCAGAGAGAACGGGCAGAGGAGAAAATAAGGAAAGCTATATAAGTTGCTTGTGGACATGTAACATGGGCCATTATTTGGAGGACACAGACATGGCTGACACAGACATGGCTCCCGGGAGCAGTACAAGCCAGGACCCCAGCATGGTCTCAGGTGGCATCACTGTCTACACACATCAGGCTGTTCCTCATTACCTGCAAGTCTCCAGTCCTGCCTCTATTCATTGTGCCCACATCCTTCTGCTTCTCTTTCTCTTCCATTTCTCCACCATTTATTTGGTCCTCTTCGAGATGCCCAGGATCTCTGAGTCTCTGGGGTTGTCTCAGGAGTGGTCTCGGGAGTGCTATGACCTGCTCATGCGTTATGGCACAGGGCAGGGGTCATCTCAGGTGTCATCTGCTCTCACGCCTGCACTGCCATGGACTGGTGGTCATTTCAGGCTAGCTCCCTGTCCAGGCTCCGTGGGCCCATGTGAGGGTTATCTGTCTCACTCTCACCCAGAACCCAGTCCTGGTCAGGGTTCTTCTAATCTCTGGCTCACTCCCAACCCTGGAGGCCTGTCCAGGCCTGCACAGCAAGCTGGTGGTCCTCTCAGGCTTGCTTTATGGGAGTGTTAAGCTACTAATCATTCAGATACTCAAGGTCAAGAACACTGAGCCTAGACACAGCCTCTCCTCTCTGCCACACACAACAACCACATCTGCCATGCCTCTGGGGGCAGATTAATCAATCAATTAATTAAAATATTCAACCAAAAGCAACATGGTTGGTTGGTTGGTTGGTTTGTTTGTTTGTTTGTTTTGTAAATATATGGAAAGTGTTAAATTTTCCTTTGGTCATGAAAGGAAATCCAGAAAAAAAACAATTTCCTTTGGTTGTTTTATGTCCCAAAGTGGGAGGGGGAAGGGGACGACTCTCCCTTTAAGGTTGACTCCTCCCTCATTCTGGAGCCTTTGCACTCTTAAGAGTGAGATGATTATTTCCCTCGGTGGCCGTCCACTTTCTACAGGGAACACTTCCGTGAAGACACGAGAGCCATCAAAATCATCAAACTTTGGAATGGGCAGGCACAGAATGGTTCTTCTTCTAGACGCTGGACCTCCTGGTAAACGGGTCTCGTTTATATTTATCCTTTAGTGGAGTTAAGAGATGCTCTGACAGCAAGTGGCTATGATTGGCACAGGGGAGCAAGGAATAGAAAGGGGCATTCCAGTCCTATGGAAGTGCTTTTCCTCAGCCACACATCCTGAACTGAAATGGTGAAGAAGGGTGCAGTGTTTGCACTAATTTTATAAAATCGTTGAGGTGAAATCAAGTCAGGACCTGAAGAAAGCAGAACTGTCCTGAGTAGGAATCAATACTGATTAAAAGTTGATTTCCAGCAGGAAATTTTGAAAACCAACTCGGTGCAAAACTTTACTTCATCATGTTCATGGACTGGCTAAAATCATTCTGCAGTTTTCCGTGAGGGTTGAGTTGGGGTCACTATGGAGCTAAGAGCCATAACAGCACTAAATGTGCTTTATGCTGTGTGTGGAGATGGTAAGATTAGCATTTGGGGATTTGGGATGCCAGGTAGACTGTCACACTGTTGAGAGTGCTATTTAGCAGGTACTGTTGGTGCAACAGTCGAGAACACGAGAAACACCAGCCGTTCTCTCATGAGACTTATTGTCTAACTGTGTGGACCAGGTAGACAGGGGTTTGGGGGCAAGCCTAATTGACACTGAGAAGGTAGAGGGTCAGAAAGCTCAGAAACTTGCCATGTAGTATGCAGAGAAAGCGCACCACTCCTAGTTTTATGGATGTCTCTCTCAGCCTTGCAGGTTTAAGACCTGCCTCTACAGTTTGCTTCACAATCCCCACGCCTGGCCGCCTTTAGGCAGGTGTTCTTACTGATGCTCTGATTCTGGATCTGTACCTTTTCCATCTGCTTTCCATTTTGAAGGAAGGGTCTTCCTTTTTATTGGCTTAGTCTTTGTCAGACTCCAAAGCCTGAACCTTTTGTCTTTTGTTAGTAAGCTTCACTTCTGCCCTTTGTTTCACAGGTTATAAAAGATTTGTCCATATAGGTTTCTTCATCATGGCTGTGGTCTCTCTTCTTGGTGTCTCTGCTGTCTCTGATTCTCCTGGTGAGTACTGTGACATAAATTGTCAAACAAAACCACAATTCCCCTGTATGTTAAGTAGCAACTAAAACTCCGTCCTCTGAGGAGCTGAAGAACCAGATAGTAAAAGCACACAATAATATTCTAACCAGGAGACGCAAAATTACTAGCATTGTCTGCCCTCGTACAAAGCAATCTCATGTTATATAAAGGCTGAAAGCAGTGTATGGTAGACTGAGAAAAAGAGAGAGAGAGAGATGAAAGCTCAGAGCTATTGGGACAGAAGGGAGTTCCAAGAACATGATAGTGAATCCAAAGCCTATACTTCACATTTTTAAAAGTGTATTGCAGGGGGTCTGGCTGGTAGGCCCACTGGGTTCCTGGGTGAAGCCAACCTAACAGCAAAAAAGCAGCTGAGATAGTCTAAAGAAAGGAGGGAGGGAAATGTTTATCTTGTGATGGAAGATAATAGGAAAACAACTCTCTTGTTTCCATTTTTAAAGACCAGTTTTAGCAGACTTCAAGTACAATGTGTATAAATCCATGCAATTTTACATAAATGAGCTAAATGGTATTTAATGCCCTTCAACTGATTTTTCCATCCCCACAGTCACTATCAATTTTATTTCTATTGCACTTATGGTAGTGAGAAACATACATAGTTCATCCTGTAACACTCTGTGTCTTATTTTAGATGCTATCAATTGCCGCTATTAAGACACCAAGCCTAACAATGAAAATCCCACATAGTACTGTGCTGTTAGCTCTCCCGGTTTGGTCTTTGTTCCACTGGAAGCCTGTGGTACTAATAATTCTATCTGGATTCTGTGAAATAGCGTTCTCCCATTGTACCACAGTGGGCTCAGGACGGGTCTCAACTCTGACTCTAAATCATATCTAAGATACCTAAAGATGTATCATGCTCTCTGGACTCTATTTGACCGTCGTTTGCCGTATGAACTTGATATTGCAGGAGGAATGAAAAAGGAACTGAGACTGACCGGCGGTGAAAACAACTGTAGCGGGAGAGTAGAACTTAAGATCCATGAGAAGTGGGGAACAGTGTGCCGTAACGGCTGGAGCACGGACGAGGTTTCTGTGGTTTGCCGGCAACTGGGATGCCCAACTTCTGTTAAAGCCCTTGGGTGGGCTAACTCCAGTGCAGGCTCTGGGGACATCTGGATGGATAAGGTTTCCTGCACAGGAAATGAGTCTTTCCTTTGGGACTGCAAACATGACGGGTGGGGGAAACATAACTGTACCCACGAACAAGATGTCGGAGTGACCTGCTCAGGTAAGGCTCGGCTACGTCAGAGCAACCCCAGGCACGTGTTTCTGATTCAGTTCACAGTGTTTGCCTCTTGGAGGTAATGCCGGATTGAAGTCTAGCACAGTCGTTCCCTGATGCTATGATTCCATGCAAATCAAATACTCCTCTAAGCTTCTGGTAACTCGATAATAAGACATGCGCAAAGCTCTCTGCATACTGTCTGTCATATAACAAGTGCTGAAAATGTTAGCTTCCTCGTGGACCCCCATTTTTCGTTACCATGTACAGTCAGCCATATTCATCTCCTCCTCCTCACTTATTTTATTATTAATCTCTATGAGAGGATAACAAGCATAGCATTTACAATGAGTTTCAAAGCGGTAGGAAACCTTACCTGTATATAGGATTGATATTCAGCTACAGCTTGAGGCTGACACCTTCTGCTCTCATTTTCCTACATAACGAGGAGTGATGTTGGAACTTCCTCTCTGAAGTTTATAAACTTAAAGATCCAACCAGAACTGAATAAGAGAAAAAGAGCCGATAGACACTCAAGAACTGGCTAGTTTCATAGGGATCTGCTCTCTGTATTTTCGAGATTCTTCACCCTAATTCCTACTAGGTCTTCAGGAAGTCCACTTCTTTGTACACTAATCAACAGAAATCTTATGCCAGGCCACTCCCCCAGCCTCTGCACCACTGTCTTGGCTTTGCCGTCTTTCTAGGTGCTCATATCCAGCTACTGAACCTCATGCTGTTGATCCATGAAGTGGACTAAGGATGATAGCACAGTGTTTAAACTTGTAAGGACTCAATAATGTGGCCTGTGATGTGTCTATGCGTACTTTGATTGTGACCTCTTATTGTTATCAATTATTATTAATTTTCCACAATGAAAACAAGCCTTGCTAAGTTGGGGTCCTTGGTTGGAGTTTAGAGCTCATAAAATTTGATTTCTTGTTCAAGAAAGTGCTTCTAAACATTTTGTCCAACTGCACTTCTCCAGTGTCCCCAATTTCAGTCTCCCTTCTTTGTGTATTTTACTCCTTACAGAAACTCATGTCATGAGGAACAAATTATGCTGCAAAAGAAAGAAAGAAAGAAAGAAAGAAAGAAAGAAAGAAAGAAAGAAAGAAAGAAAGAAAGAAAGAAAGAAGGAAGGAAGGAAGGAATTTTGCTAAAAATGATAGTAAATGCCTTGGGGAGAAAACAAGCTTTGATTCATAAATTTGAAATCAATTTTTTTCCATAATTTTTAAGAACTTGATAGCACACGGTGTTTTGAAAATTGTTGTGTTTATTTAGGCATTTTAATCTTTTTCTTAATTTCTAATTTCAAATTCAACATCAATTATTCATTCTTAGAACTCTTTTACTATGAAGAGGTTAAAGTAAGGAATCTAAGCATTTGGTAAATGACCATTTTCTCATTCTCAACAACTTTATTAGAAGGCCAATTTTCTTTTTTTCTGCTTTCTTTCTCTTTTTTTTTTAAGTGAATAATGAGCAATATTGATCTTTTCTATACCAAAGAGTGTTCTGATCCATAACACAATTTCCCTGGAGAGGAGATGTAGAAGAAAATAGTTATTGTTCATTGGATTTTAACATGTCAAAATTCTTTGGTATGTGGAGATAGGCAGTATCTAAAAGCCAAATGCTAATTTTTAAGAGTAGCATCAAATTCCAAGTATCCAGGAAACCCGGAATAATTCCTTGCTTGTGGATGGATTTCACTTCCTAACCTTGGTCTTTTCTGTAGATGGATCCAATTTGGAGATGAAGCTGGTGAACGGGGCCAACCGGTGTATAGGAAGAGTGGAGATAAAATTCCAGGGAAAGTGGGGGACGGTGTGTGATGACAACTTCAGCAAAGATCACGCTTCTGTGATTTGTAAACAGCTCAGATGTGGAAGTGCCATCAGTTTCTCTGGATCAGCTAAATCTGGAGCTGGTTCTGGACCAATCTGGCTTGACGATGTGGCATGCAATGGAAATGAGTCAGCTCTCTGGGACTGCAATCACCGAGGATGGGGAAAGCATAACTGTGATCATGGGGAGGATGTAGGAGTAATTTGCTTAGGTAAGGATGGCTCCAGGCTTTCTGATCTCTGTGACTGACTAAAGAAAATGGTACCCGAATTGTAAAGAAAACGGTAAGCCCAAGAATTGTAAGCCCAAGTCCTTGAAAGCATAATGGAGTCAGCCTCTGTCTCCTTGTTATTGTCTCACTTGGGGTCCCAACTTTAATATTTGTGGGTTTGCTAACTGAAATCAGAAAATGAAAATTGGTCTAGGGGGCCAGGTTGGTGCTGGAGAGATGGCTCAGTAACTAAGAGAGTCCTCACCACTCTTGCAGAAGACTGTGGTTCAATTCTCAGCATCCATATGGTGACTCACGACTGTTAACTCCAGTCCCACAAAATCTGGTCCCTTCCTCCCATCGCCAAGAACAGTGCACACACATGCTGCATATACACATGCTCAGGCACACACAAAGACATGTAAAAAATTTGAAGATAAACAAACAACTAACAGTTACAGAGAAAATTATAAATAATGAAATTCAGTTCCATCATAAGAAGAGTGTTTTGGGAAAGCTTGATGGGGATGGAAGATGGGGTAAAGAGGGGTGGGGGGGGCTGAGGTGGAGGAGTGAAGAGAGGAGGATTGAGAAAGAAAGGGGTAACCAGAGGAGGGGCAGAGTGGGGAAAGGGGTCAGTAGTGAATCTTTTAAAGCTTTTGTACAGGTGAGCACATTCACCCCTCAGAACCCTCTTACCCTTTCCTTGTCTTTCTCCCTCCTGTTAGTACTTGCTGTCCTTTTAGACCATTTTACTTCTACTTTCAAGTCATTTCAACATAAGTAGATAGATGATATAGAAGATAAATAGGTAGGTAGGTAGATAGATAGGTAGGTAGGTAGATAGATAGATAGATGATAGACAGACAGATTGGGATACAAATATAGAAATACCACAAACATATAATTGTATATATCTATCTAAAAATCGATGAACCAGAACAGAAACAACATTTACTATTTGTCTTTCTGAGATTGGTTTAAAAACAAGCCACCATCATCCTCCTCCTCCTTTTTTAGACACATTGACCTAACCTTAACCACATTCCCAAACCATTACGCCAAATCCGTAGAATTAAGTGATAAAAACAACAGTGCCAATACATCAGCACCTCTCAAAGGCGCGGGCTATCCATGAGCAAGTACTGCTTTGGCCTGGTGACTCTAACATTCACACCGGGACCCAGGCTGTAGGCTTGTGCTTATCACGGGATTTTATTCGGAAGCAAGGAGGGTTCTTTAAGGGGTGTTCTTTAAGAGGTGTTAACTGAGGAATGAACCGCTCAGTCCTTCCCCTCTGCTCTGCCTGTAAGCTAGGAGGGTATTCTAGTAATTATTTCTCCATTGCTGTGGTAAAACACTGAGATCAAGGCAACTTATAGAAGGAATGCATGGTTTATTTGGTTTTCCTCGTGGTCACAATGAGGAAGGAAGCACAACAACAGGCAGATTTGGTGAGCGGAGCAACAAGCCGAGCACCCACATCATAAACTGCCAGAACAAAGCCAAGTGGCAATTAGTATTCGTACAATGCTCTTAAAACCTTAACCCCCACCCACCCACCAAGGGACATACTTCCTCCAGATAGACCACAACTCGTTAACCTCCCCAAACAGTGCCACTAACTGGGGCAAAGGCCAGACAGTGTCCACACACCTGAGCTGTGGAGAAGCAGCCTCACTCCAACCCCCACAGGCACTCACGAAAGGGCCAGGTGCACGGCACAGGCTGGGCGGTGGAGACAGATCATGTAGTTAACAGTGAAAGCGGATGCCAGATATTTACCTAAACTGGAGTAAGAGGTGAAAAACCTAAACACAGGCAGATGTACTTTAACAAGACAGAGTAAGTTCTAACCCCATTTGTGGTGACCGAACAGGCACAAAACTGACTCTTGACAAATCTCTGAGATGCTTCCCATTGCCCGATGTTCTCCATTTATGTCTGTAGTGACTCGCCGTGGAGCTATGGAGCAGCTGCCTCTCTCCATCCCTCCACCCCGCCTCCAACTCAGCTAGAGCTAGTTCTTCCTCACCTTATTCTTGTTTCCCTTTCACTGTTTGTTACTTGCTGCCGTTGCAGAGGGGGCTGATCTGAGCCTGAGACTGGCCGATGGAGTGTCCCGATGTTCGGGGAGATTGGAAGTGAGATTCCAATCTGAATGGGGGACCGTGTGTGATGATGGCTGGGACAGTCTTGATGCTTCTGTGGTGTGTAAACAACTGGGATGTCCAACTGCCATCGCTGTCATTGGTCGAGTTAATGCCAGCGAGGGGTCTGGACCAATTTGGCTTGACAGCGTTTCCTGTAAAGGACATGAAGCAGCAATTTGGGAATGCAAACACCAGGAGTGGGGAAAGCATTACTGTCATCACCGAGAAGATGCTGGCGTGACCTGTTCTGGTAAGTTAGAACAAAAAAGGCAGTCAAAGATGGAAAAACCTGTGTTCATTAGAAACAGAGATAGGTGTGAGTCGCGAGTGGTGGAAACAATTAATTCATGTTGGGAATTCCTTCATAGCTGTGAAAGATCTGACACATTCTTCATAGAAGGGATATTTGGCTCCATTCTCTGTGTTGTTAGGAGTATTGTTTGGAACGACACCTTCAATTCTAAGTCTATGTGTAGTCCAGAGACTTCGTATTTAAAAGACTAGGATGAATGGTATGTGTCTGTGTGTCTGTGTGTGTAACTAACATTTTTAGTCCTTAAGAACTATATTCCATTTATAGTAGAATTCACAGTCTGCATTTGATTATTAAAACCTCAGTAAAAACGTAAGCCAAAATTGGGTATGGTGGTACAGGCCTGTAATCCAAGCCACTTGGGAGAGAGACGAGGACAGAGGATGGCAAATTCAAATAGGTTCTGGGCAACTTACTGAGATGCCAGCTCAAAACTGGGAACAAAAATATAGAAAGGCACCAGGCACACAATCCTTCTCTAGTTTTTGAAAGGGCCTAGGTTTGATCCTCACTAATGTCAAGAAACAAGTAAGCAAGAGGTGCCAGTCCAGAGTCCAGAGTCTCGGTGTCTACGAAGGAGGGAATACAGTGTTTCCAGAGCTGCCTGCCCCGGCCTCCCTCAGCCTCTGCTTCTGCTTCTTCTGCAGACGGATCAGATCTGGAACTGAGGCTTGTAGGTGGAGGCAGCCGCTGTGCCGGGACGGTGGAGGTGGAGATTCAGAAGCTGACAGGGAAGGTGTGCAGCCGAGGCTGGACCCTGATAGAGGCTGACATCCTTTGCAGACAGCTTGGATGTGGCACCGCACTTCAAACGCATTCTAACATCTACTCCAAAATCAAGGAGGCAAATACATGGCTCTTTCCTGGCTCTTGTACTGGGAATGAAACTTCTCTTTGGCAATGCAGAAACTGGCAGTGGGGCGGCCTTTCCTGCGATCACTTCGAAGCAGCCCAAGTTACCTGCTCAGGTGAGACCTTCAATTCATTTGTTAAGAAGCAACTTAATGCCAAAGATACTGTAGATGCCATGGTTGTGGTTTACTTTTTATGCTCTTTCTTCAGCCTTGTGAATCGGGATATGTAGGTGCTTTGCCTAAACTAATCATAGAATTGGGATTTTCTTTAAACCTCTTCCTTTCAAAAAATTTTTTAAAGATTTATTTGCTGTTTATACAGTGTTCTGCCTACACACGTGCCTGCACACCAGAAGAGGGCACCAGATCGCATTATAGATGGTTGTGAGCCACCATGTGGTTGCTGGGAATTGAACTCAGGACCTCTGGAAAAGCAGCCAGTGCTCTTAACCTCTGAGCCAAAAACCCCCTGGCGCTTATTTTTAAAATAAATCTGGTGGTACTATTTTTCCGAAAGCAGTAATGTACTTGACACATATCGTTGTGTGTCTGTATTATGTGTAAGTGATATATTGGCAGACTGAATTATCCTTCAACTAACAATGCATTGGGGGTCTGGGGAGGCGGCTCAGTAGGTAAAGCACTTACCACACACTCATAAGGACCTGAGTGCGGATCAACCGCACACGTGAAGAGCTGGGAGCTGCAGTGCACACGTGAGGCTAAGCACAGCTATTCTCAAAGTTAGCGAGAGATTACTATCCAAAGCTGATGTCAAACCGCGCCTTGGTCGGTGCTGATGCCAGCCTCTGCCTGCCATGGTTGGTCTGAGACTTAAAGCCATTTGAAACCTTATGCCTGAATGAGAGCAGAAGACCAGAAGGCTGCTTTGCTGCTAGGCTTCCTGCTTTTCTTATGGAGGACTAATTTCGTCTTCTGCTTTGGGTGCATTTTATGACCAACCCAGCTGAGAGACAAGACGCTGGAGGTGTTTCAAATAATGATTACTCATCCTTGTTTGTGCTTATTATATGCTTTGTTACAGAACAAAAGGAGAAGGTCCTAACTCGCTGTTCTTACACTTGTTCTTCGTTCGGGCTTTTTAGAGAGAGAATAAATGCTGATTTAGCTACCTTGGCAGATGAAAACTTAACCTGCTAATCAAAACCAAATCCATTCACAAAATTGTATTTACTGGCTCTTATATAAAAATTAATGAAGTCGTTTGACTGTTGGGCAGAAAAGTCCCTTCAAAAGCTAAGACTCCAGTATTCTGACCCAAACAAATGATCTAAAGAAAGCAAAAGCAACCTGCGAACGTAAGCTAACAGATTCACAAAATCAGCTGAAAAAAAATGGAGTCCCCAAGTTTGGGTGAAAGATTTTCCATTCGGACTTAGAGTCAAATGTTTTAGGATTGGGGGACAAAGAGAATGTATACAGAAAGGGTTTGTTTTCAAGCATGCAATACATTTTCACCAAGAAAGAAAGCACGGTTGGTTTGGTTTTGCTTTCCTCTAGTTGTGTTTTATTTCATCTGAAATGGCTACATGTGAATAAGCCAGAAGCCACAAGAAACCTAGTTTGGCCTTGATCTCAGAAAATTAAGGGCTGTCCAAGATGCCAGTGACATCTTAGATGGGGCGATGCTCCCCCAACTCAACGAGAAGCTGAGGACTTTGCAGTTCAAACATCATTGATTATTTGTGTATAGCACTGTTTGCTTTAAATTTGATCTGCATTTAGAAATCAGTGGGTTCTTCCTCTCATATTTGGATAGGAATTCACTTCAATGGTGAAATTCTGGGATGCAGAGACCTTCTATTTGTGTTTCTAGTGCAGAAAAGAGTCACGTCTAGAACATTTTCAGAGATGTTTTAGTATGAGGGAAAAGACATGATCTTAAGAAAACAGTGAGAGTATGAACACTTCAAGGGCTTAAGGGCTGTTTGTCCATTTGTACTATGCCAAGGGCAGCTTCAAAGGTTTCCATAGGCATCTGTGGAGGACGAATGCTCTTTAAAAGATCCAACCTCAGATGCCCTTCTGTTTGGTTTTTGTTGTTGCTGTTGTTTTAAGAAGTGAATTTGAAACAGTTCCTGTTTTCACGAAGCTCATGTTCCCGGTGTTAAAGGAAGCCCTCACTTGTCTTGGTGGCTAAATCTCTTGGCCTGAAAAGGGGCACATCCCAACCTGACTCCCGTTTCTTGTTGCTCGGCATCTCCTTTGTTTACCTTCTAAAGCCCAGCTACACTGCCCGACACACGGGTTTGTTTTCTCTCTTGGTCCTGGAGGCACCAGATCCGGGAGCCTGACGCAGTACAGCGTGGCAGAACACACACAGGTCTGTTTGCCTGTGAAGCCCTGGGATAAAGCCCTGTCAGAAAGAAATGGGAAGAGGACAGGAAAGTCACAGATACCAAGTGTCCCATTCTTAAATGTCTGGTGTCGGTGCGGTGTTCCACACGGAAATACACTGAAAACCTACACGAGGTTGTTGATGGGGCTGGTCAGACTTCAGACTGGGCTGACTAAAGGAGCCCAAACAAACTGGGTTTTATGAACTAACGGAAGTGAAACATTAGAAGAAGAAGAAAAAAAAAAAAAGCAATGCTAATCATGGTTTTCTCCAAAAAGCAAAGCATTAGAATTTTCTTAGAAGGACAGGTCCAACGAGAATTATGAGATCCATGATTTACTATGCTCAGAACAGACAGAAAATCCAGGTGGTGCGGTGTGGCTAATCCAGGAGAGCCCTGGCTCCTAGTCCTGTCATGAGTGAAAACGTGGACACTGTACTTCTCACATAAAACACAATTACTTTTCAGGTCACAGGGAACCCAGGCTGGTTGGAGGGGAAATTCCGTGCTCTGGACGTGTGGAAGTAAAGCATGGTGACGTGTGGGGCTCCGTCTGTGATTTTGACTTGTCTCTGGAAGCTGCCGGCGTGGTGTGCAGGGAACTCCAATGCGGAACAGTGGTCTCCATCCTCGGGGGAGCACATTTTGGAGAAGGCAGTGGACCGATCTGGACTGAAGAATTCCAGTGTACTGGGGACGAGTCCCATCTTTCGCTGTGTCCAGTGTCGCCCCCTCTAGAAGGCTCTTGTAGCCACAGCAGAGATGTCAGCCTAGTCTGCTCACGTAAGACGCAGAAAAACGTCTTCAGTTTACTCCTGGGCTGTGAAGGAGACAGGGGTGGGGAGTCCAGGATGTCTTCTCTAAAGCCTTCCCCCACCCCACCCCCGCCCCGGTCTCTTTTTCAGGATACACAGAAATCCGCCTGGCAGAGGGCAAGTCCTCCTGTGAGGGGAGAGTGGAGCTCAAGGTGCTTGGAGAGTGGGGACCCCTCTGCGACTCTCACTGGGACATCGAAGATGCTCACGTCCTGTGTCACCAGCTCGGATGTGGAGTCGCCCTTTCTGCCCCACGGGGAGCGCGTTTTGGGAAGGGATCGGGTCAGGCGTGGAGGCACATGTTCCACTGTACCGGCACGGAGCAGCACATCGGGGATTGCCTCGTGACGGCTCTGGGCGCGCCAGTGTGTGCCGAAGGGCAAGTGGCTTCTGTGATATGCTCAGGTGAGAGGGGGAAGGGCAGAGCCAGCCGTCCATGCGCCCCTCCGCGGTGCTGTGCTTTGGAATCAGGTGGGCCTGCGTCCCAGGATGAAGCCAAAGAGAAGGAACCGGTCTGTCTTGGGGGTTCGCGAGACAGTTGAGTCGGGACAGTAACTTCGTCTGCCTTATGAGCGAGCAAGCGGGCTTAACTTCCATCAGTCTTATTGCTGACTGTGCTTTCTGCGCTGGTTCTCAACCTTCCCAGTGCCTCGACCCTTTAACATCTACAGTCCCTTACGTTGCGGCGAGCCCTCCGCACATGGCTGGAGTTTTGCTGCTGTTAAAAATCGTGGCGCAAATACACCATAGGCTGTTCCACCCCCTGTGAAAGGGTTGATGGGCTCTCGCCTCCCCTGGGGGGGGGGGGTCACGACTCACAGGTTGACCACCCCTGGCTCGCTGTAACCTAAGTTTTCTCAGAGCACCTGCTTCGTTTCCAAGAGGCCCATCTGTCGTCCTCCCTGCTCGTACAGAAAGGGCATCCTGAGATCAGGGCTCTGGGATGGAGGCCCCCTCCTCAGTGGCTGTGCAGCTCCCGGGGGAGGGTACCGCCTTCCTCTTGCTAGAGCCGCGTCCTCAACTCATGTGCAGAACTCTCTGTCTGACGACCCTCGTCCTTCACCCTTCCCGTCTAACACGCCTGAACATTTTGGCGTTTCCAGGAAATCGGTCCCAGACACTGTTGCCGTGTAACTCGTCGTCCTCCTCGGTCCAAGCAGAGAGCTCCACCGTCCCGAAAGAGAGCGGCGTCCCGTGCATAGGTGAGGATCTGTGGGATGGACCTGTGGGAACGGCCGCGAACCTGGGAAAGCGCGCCGCGCCTCACCGTCGCCTCCTCCGGTTCTCTCCCCAGCGAGCGGTCAGCTTCGTTTGGTAGGTGGAGGCGGTCGCTGCGCCGGGAGAGTGGAGGTCTATCACGAGGGATCCTGGGGCAGCGTCTGTGACGACAGCTGGGATCTGGCGGACGCCGACGTGGTGTGCGGGCAGCTGGACTGCGGCGTGGCTGTTAACGCCACCGGCTCTGCTCACTTCGGGGAAGGGACGGGGAGAATCTGGCTGGACGAGGTCAGCTGCCGCGGGGACGAGTCTCGCCTTTGGCAGTGCCGGTCCCACGGCTGGGGCCGTCACAACTGCAGGCACAAGGAGGATGCCGGGGTCGTCTGCTCAGGTACGTGCTGGTCACAGCTGTGCTGGAAGGGACCGAGGTGCACATGGCAGGGAACATCAACCTGAAACACTCCACCCAGTAACCGGTCCAGTTATTTCCAGAGTCAGGCGCCTCAAAACATTTGCTCAACGTGTCGGTACAATCTCGTGTGTTGGCTAGGATACTGTTAAGAGAAAAACAAAGAAACAGGCCTGGCTATCCCAAAAATGTCAGCGTATCTGTAGAGCTGCATACCGGATCCGATGGCTCACTTGATAGTTCTAACACGGGTAAGAAAGACTAAAAAGAACAAAAATAAATCCTGTGTAACGTTTACAAAGAAAAGAGATATTTAAATAAATATTTAAATACATCTTAAAAACAGATAGACGAGTTTTATTTGCCAGTGGGGCAAATTTTACCATAAAGAGGCCATTGCTCTTGCTTTGTACTCATAACAAGCTTCAGAGACGTCCATGAACCAGAAGAAAAAAAAAAAAAAAAACCGCCCCTGGTTGCAGTGTGCTAAGGAAAACAGTAGTATGACTCAGTAGTGAAATGAAACAAGTCTCTATCAGAAGGGACCTTTCCCTATTTAATGACCCACTAGAGGGCATCTGTGGCTAAGTGGCGTGTCAAAAAAAGAAAGTATTTCACTTTAATGCACACAAAACGTTGGATTTAGGGCCTGTGTCTCATTAAATGTTAAGAACCAAAGGCATTGCCCGAAACCCCATACCAACACATGCACCGAAGAATTGACTCGATCATGAAACAGGGTGTACTTGCACTAAGACCTCACATCCTGTTCCTGAAATACATAGTTTACATGTCAATTAAACACAAATAAGACTAGAATAAGACTTGTTGGGCTAAAATTACAATGATTTAGGGAAACTTGTGTCACCAAAAAAAGCTCGGAGGCTTTGACTGAATCTCGAAAGTGTCTTGGAGCACTGAAAGTCTTCAAATGAGATCCTCTAGAAGGAAAGTCCAGATTAGAAAGCCAGACGGTGTGTAGAACCTAACCCTACTAAGATCTACTGGTTTGTTCAGAAGTTACTAACGAGTTACTGGGAGGTGACACAGTCTATCTGTTGCAGTCATTTCTACATTAGAGAAAAAAAAAAGAAAGTGTTTTTCTCAGAGAAGTTGTGAAACCACCAATTCTTCTCTCCCCCCCCCACCCCCAGAGTTCATGGCTCTGAGGCTGACCAATGAAGCCCACAGAGAGTCCTGCACAGGTCGCCTGGAAGTGTTTTACAACGGGACATGGGGCGGTGTCGGCAGCAGGGATATGTCCCCAACCACCGTGGGGGTGGTGTGCCGTCAGCTGGGCTGTGCGGACAACGGGAAGGTGAGACCTACACCCTCAGACAAGACAGAAGCCGGGCTCATGTGGACAGACAATGTGCAGTGTCCAAAAGGAGTTGATGCCTTGTGGCAGTGCCCCTCGTCCCCGTGGAAGCAGAGACAGACCAGCCCCTCCGAGGAGTCTTGGATTGTCTGTGACAGTGAGTGTCCATTTTCAATAGGAAATTTCCATTCTGCCTCTCTACCAGGCTCCGGTGTTTTCGCTGTGGCACTCATTTTTAGTCTTTTCTTTACCTATTCATCAAGATCACACATATTGATAAAAAGATTACAATAACATAGTTGATAAACTTCAAAATGTCCCATAGCTTTATAAAGTAAAATATTTTAAAAGCTGTTTTTAAAATATCCAGGTTTTTTTTTTTTAATTTGGTAAAACTTTAAAACTTTCTTTAAAGAAGTTCTAAATCTCCCAATTGTGTGTGTTTGCAATGTCAAAATAAAGTACCGTTTTTAAGAATGGGGACACAGAGCACAACCATAATTTTTAGAAGGCAAAACTGAGTTTTAACAGTGTGAACAATTTAGTGTTTCCAAATCAATTCCAAGTGGGTTACTTTTATGTTACAAAGTTTGGTTGCCAGCAAGAAAGTTTCTTGTATATGAACCTATGCAGCTATAATACTTCCTTTAAAAAAAAAAAAAAAAAAAAAAAAACAACCACTGGTTTTTAAGACAGAGTAAAACTTATATAAAAATCATATCCCAATTTAAAAGTATCTTTATTTTCCTCGGCTGGCTCATGACATGCGTTGAGGCCCAGAATGGCTCCAGTGCTGAGTTATTAGTTTTAAGTCAACTTTTTGTTACAGATGTTACAGATTTTTTTAACCATACCCAGTAACTTATAAGTCAATGATCTATAGCCAAGACATCTAGAACATAGTAAACTCATACATTTAAGACCAGTCAGAAACAGCCATGCCGTGGCCACACACATTCATATATTCAAAACAGACCGACAAAACTTTCCTTACTTCTCCCGGCTGTCATTTCAAGAGAGGAGCACCTTGCTACCTGCTGAGTCCCACTCCCAGGGGCACAGCGGTTCTGGAGCAGGAATAGCTGCCAGCTTCCTTACCCGAGAAAGCTGAGGAGCTGCTGGTGCCCCTTTAAGAGCAGCTTGTACAGATTTCCCCAGCTTTGCTGTCAGCTTGATCCGAGGAAGAAGGTGGGGCTACGCCGGTGGAGCTTGGGTCTAGCTGTGGGTGCAGGACCCGAAGAGCAGTTTTTCCGGTTTTTGTTGTCCCGATTCAGCTCCCTCTTTTTTTTTTTTTTTTTTTTTTTTTTAATCCTTGAGATGGATTGAGACTAAGTCAAGGGTGAATGGGGAACGGTCAGATAAAGCTTGGCCCATTTTTCCAAATAGGAAACACAGAGCAACAATCAAATTAAACCAAACTACAGACACAAACTGACAGACATGGACAGACCGGCATGCCCAGAACCAGAACCAGGTGTTCCCCCAAACGGGAACTAGTGAGAGGGCAGGACCTCCGACCCTGGAATCAATAATATGTCCTGTTTCTCCTTTCTTGGGTACCAGATAGGCCCTAGCCAGAAATCAGAACACAAACTTACCTCTGGGGTCCAGATGACTAAAAAACAGTCCCAAGTGTTGCTAATTCAACTTTGGAGCTAAAGGGAGTCAGCGTTTGGTTCCCGGAACACACCAAATGTTAGGGTCCGAAAATCCAAAACAATCCAAGCAGGCGCAAGAGTCCAGCAGAGCAAGGTCTTTGTTTGAATTAGGCAGCAAAAACTGACCAGTCAGGGACAACAGCACAGACTCTGGAGCTGACTAAGAACGTTCATCTTAGTATTGAAGCAGATGACCAAAACGCCACTATTCAAGGTCCTAGAACAAACTGGAGATGCTGAGCCGGGATGTTACAGTGCTTTTAAGCTCCAAACCCACAAACATCTCTGCCAAGTTTTCCCACCAATCAGAATTTGGGCCTAGGAGACTTCCTTTGGAACATGTCTTTGTGGTACACTTATCCAGTTCCCATTGGTTGGGTTATCAACTGTGGCGGGCGAGTTGCCTAGCGTTCATGTCTCAGCTTGCCAACCCGGATGTCAGTTACCCACATAACATGTCTATCTCTGCCAAACAAGATGTCACTTACCCAGAGAGGTCTTGGGAACTTAAACTTTATTTGACCCCTAATCAAAATGGAAGTTTATTCAAAATAGCTTCAGTTTGTTTCTTTCTTACATCATCTGAGAAAACAAGAGATTTTTTTTTTTCTGTTCACACTCTGGCTTGACTTGTTAAGTCTCATTAATCAGGGATGGAAAGCTTTCAGGTAAAACTTAGGACTGGAATGGCTGATCTTATGTAATTGTTATATTGTACACATATATACACACATACAAGATCGGGAATCATTATTCCAGACTTTCATATTTATGTTCTCAAAATTTCTATTTGATTGATTTCTCTAAAAACAAGAAACAGAGAATACATGGTTAACAAATGGATCATTGAAAGCCTTTCTTTCCTTTCTCTACATTTCTTCTGAATATTATATTGTTGTATTAATATAAGAATAACTCAGAAGAGTCAGTCCTGAACTCTTTTCATCACACATCCTCTCAAGCCGGGTGAATCATATTTCTGTCCACATCGCTTTTATCCGTGTGAGAAAATTTAGCTTCCTACATGATTAATGTTGACTTCATTCACTTGCAGCTTCTTGAGTCATGCTATATTTTTTTAAATAGTATCTTTAATAATTCTTTGGGAGTTTCATACAGTGTACCTTGATCATATTCACCCTTCTTCCTCAGCTCCTACCAGATCCATCCCGACCCCTCGACTTATCCAACTTCACCTCCCCTTTTATTTTTCTGACCCCCTGAGTCGACTTTGTGCTGGCCTAAAATCTTCTGGGTGTGGGTCCTACTTTGGTGGTTGGTCTTACCCTTAAAGGCACCTCTCTTCTCTCTCCCAGAAACTATCAGTTGCCAATAGCTGCTCAGGTGAGGGACTTCACATCCACCTCTCTTCTCCATGCTGGAATTTTTGTCTGGCTTGAGCCTTGCACAGGTCTCGTGCATACTGTCACAAACGCTGCGGTTTCTCATGTGCAAGTGTTCTGTTGTGTCCAAAAAAAAAAAAAAAAAAAAAAAAAAAAAAAAAAAAAAATACTGTTTCCTGGTAGCCACCCACCGTCTCTGGATCTTACAGTCTTTCCACTCCCTCTTTGGCAAAACTCCCTAAGCCTTGAGGGAGGGGTATCATACAGACATTCTATTTAAATCTTAAACGCAGCTCATCTCTTATTCTCAGCGTATTGTAGGTCTCAGTTATCCCCCCCCACTCTTTTCTCTACCTTGTCCTCCCATCTGCCACCCCATTTAACCCTTCCTTTCCTACTTTTCCCATTTCTCTTTCTATATCACTGTATTCTAGCTCTCCTCCCATGAAATGTCTCAACCTCCCCATAGTCCCATTCCAGTTTCCTGATTAGGTATCCCAAATAAAGTACACATGTCTAAAGCTTCAAAGACAGCATCCACATAGAGACAAAATACACGGCATTTGTCTGTCTGGAGTACCTCACACAGGATGATTCTTTCCAGTTTCATCAGTTTATCTGAAATGTTCATAATGTCGTTTTTCTTAACAGCTGAAGAATATTCCATTGGGTAAATTAACCATGTTTTCATTTTCTGTTTATCAAGTGGTGAACAAATAGACTATTTCCATCTCCTGGCTATTGTGGGTAGAGTAGCAATGAACACGGATGACCAAGTATCTTTGTAATAAGATGTAGGGGCCTTGGAATACATGCCCAAATGTGGTGTAACTGTATCATCTGGTAGATCTATTTACAGCTTTGTGAGGAACATCCACACTGATTTTCATAGTGTCTGCACCAGTTTGTTCTCCCAACCAACCGTGACTAAGTTTTCCCTTTCCTCAAATCCACAATAGCATTTGCTGTCTTTTTTTTTTTTTAGCTGTTCTGACTGGAGTAAGGCAAAGTCTTTTTAATTAATTTATTTATTTACTCACTTTACATCTCGATTGTAGCCTCCTCCCTCCCCTCCTCAAGGTCTCACCTTCCCTCCCTCTTTCCTCATCCCCTCGGGGAGAACTCCAGTTCATCAAGTCACATGAGGACTGATTGTGTTCTCTTCCCCTGTGGCTTGGCAAGGCAGCCCCATTGGAGAAGGGGGTGATCAAAAAGCAGGTAACAGAGTCCACAACAGAGACAGCCCTGACTCCCTTTACTAAGGGACCCACATGAAGCCTGAGCTGCCCATCAGCTACATCTGTGTAGGGGGCCTGGGTCTAGTCTATGGTCCAGGCATAGTCCTTGGTTGGTGCTTCAGTCTCCTCAAGCCCCTCTGGGGTCCGGTTACTTGGCTCTGTTGGTCTTCTTGTGAAGCTCCTATCGCCTCCATGTCCTTCTGTCCTTCCCTCCACTTTTCCACAAGACTCCCTATGCTTCGCCCAATGTTTGGCTGTGAGTCTCAACATCTGTTTCACTCTGCTGCTGGGTGGAGCCTCTCAGAGAACAGCTATGCTAGGATTCTCTCTGTGAACATAGCATAATATCATTAATAATGTCAGGGATTGGCTCTTTACAATGGAGTAGGTCTCAGGTTTGGCCAGGTGCTTGCTGAACACCCCTTCAATTTCTGCTCTATCTTTATCCCTGTACATCTTGTAGACAGGGTAAGTTTTGGGTTGAAGTGTTTGTAGGTAGGTTGGTGCTCCCCTCCCTCCAATAGGAGTCCTGTCTAGTTAGAGGGTGGCCTCTTCAGTCTCCATGACTCCTGATACTAGGAGTCTCAGCTAGAATCACCCCCATGTCCCCCCAGAAGCCAACCCTGTCTTAGGTCTCCAGCTTGTCACAGAGATGCCCCTGCCCATGGTTTCTTTTCTCACTATAGGGCCTCTGTCCTCTTGTCCCTGCTTTCCCCAGGTCTGGCCTCCACCCTCATTTCTCTCTGCTCTCCCTCTCCTATCATGTTCCCTCTCTTCAACCACCTCTGCTGTCTATTCTATTTCCCTTTCTGAGTAAGATTTCTTGGCCCCTCCTTGTTACTTAGCTTCTTTGGGTCTGTGGATTGTAGTATGGTTATCCTGTACTGTATGGCAAATCTCCACTTATAAGTGAGTACATACCATGTGTGTCCTTCTGGGTCTGGGTTATCTCAAGGATGATCTTTTCTAGTTCCATCCATTTGCCTGCAAATTTCATGATGTCCTTGTTTTTAATAGCTGAGTAGTACTCCATTGTGTAAATATACCACATTTTCTTTATCTATTCTTCAGTTGAGGAACATCTAAGTTGTTTCCAGATTCTGGATATTACAAATAAAGCTACTATGAACATAGTTGCGTAAGCGTCCTTGTTGTATGGTAAAGCATCTTTTGGGTATATACCCAGGAGTGGTATACTTGGGTCTTGAGGTAGAGCTATTCCCAATAATATGAAGTACCTTGATGTAACTCTAACCAAGGAAGTCAAAGAACTGTATGATAAAAACTTCAAGTCTCTGGAGAAAGAAACTGAAGAAGATATCAGAAGATGGAAAGATGCCCCATGCTCATGGATCGATAAGATTAACATAGAAAAGTAGCCATCTTACCAAAAGCTATCTACAGATTCAGTGCAATTCTGATCAAAATACCAACAGAATTCTTTACAGACTTTGAAAAGAACAATTCTAAACTTCATACAGAAAAACAAAAACCAAAAAAAAAAAAAAAACAGAATTGCTAAAACAATCCTATACAGTAAGATCAACTCTTAATGTAGCTTCTATTTGCATTTCCCTAATGGCTTAGGATGTTAAAATGTTTTCAAAATATTTCTCAGCTATTTAAATTTCATCTTTTGAGAACTCTCTGTCTGGTCTTTTGTCCTGTCTTTTAATGATGTTGTTTGTTTTCTTGACATTCTTTGTGTACTCGAGATACTAGCCCCTGTCAGGTTTATAGTTGGTAAGGATGTTTCCTATGCTGTAGGCTGTGTTTTTACCATAATAATCGTGTCCTTTATTCTATGGAAGTTTTCTGTTTCATGTGGTCCCATTTGTCAAGCTTCTGATAGAATATATCCAGTTTGATGAGAGGACACACACTTTTTTATGATAAAAGAACAAATTTGTCAACAATGTAATTTTAAAATCCATATCCGTTTTATTAATTCTTGGAGAGTTTCATGCACACATACAATACATTTGGATCATTTCACCCCTTCACTCTTCCCCCAACTCCCCTCAGATCCAGCTCCCTAACTCTCCTCCCAACTTCATGTTTTCTCTCTCTCTCTCTCTCTCTCTCTCTCTCTCTCTATTTCTTCACAACTTGCTGAGTCCAATCTGCTGCCCATGAATATACTTATGGGTTTAGGTTCATCTCTTGAGGCATACCCAACCCACCAAGGGTCACATCCCTAAAGAAAATGGACCCACCAGCCTCCCAGAGCCATCAGCTGTCCATAGTCTTCAGTCAGAGCACACACGTCAACCCCCTCCCTATTCCATGCTGGTATTGTATGGCTTGACTTCCTGCAGATAACCACAGCTGCTGTAAATGCAGTGGTCCTGCCACTTCCAGAAAAGATTTTTTTTTTACTCGTTTTTCTCAACCTCTGGCCCTTTCAGTCTTTCCACCTCTCCTCCTAAGATGGTCCCTGAGCCTTGCAAGAGAGGAATGTAATATAGATGTCTCATTGGATGGCTGTTACTGTCTGCACTCTGACCAGTGTGCACATTACTTAGTTTGTTTTAAGCAATCAAACGTCTCTTTCAGAAGCTCTCAGCTTCTCGGGAATAACCCATATGTCTCCGATTTCCTTTCAGACAAAGTAAGACTGCAAGGAGGACACACAGACTGTGCTGGGCGTGTGGAGGTCTGGCACAGAGGTTCCTGGGGGACAGTCTGTGATGACTCCTGGGATCTCGATGATGCTCAGGTTGCATGTGAGCAGGTGGGCTGTGGTCAAGCTGTGAAGGCACTAAAGGAAGCAGCGTTTGGTCCAGGCACTGGGCCCATATGGCTCAATGAAATGAAGTGCAGAGGGAATGAGTCTTCCCTGTGGGATTGTCCTGCCAGGCCATGGACTCACAGCGACTGTGGGCACAAAGAGGATGCTTCCGTGCACTGCCTTCCAAGTGAGTGTCAACAACCCGGATTGAGCTGGACTCTTTGGCAGCAGAGATGGGCCAGGCTCTCAAGGGTGACGTGTGAACAAAGGGGTCCGATGGGAAGACCATTGGGATGTTTCCATCTAAAGCAGTGGTCCTCAATCTTCCTAATGCTGCAGCCTTCATGTTGTGGTCACTCCCAACCATAAAATTATTTCACTGCTACTTCGTAACTGTATTTTTGCCACTGTTACAAATCATAATGTAGATATCAGATATCTAACCCTAACCTTAGCACAACCCTAACACAAACCCTAACCCTAACCCTAACCCTAACCCTAACCCTAGCACAACCCTAACCTTAGCACAACCCTAAACTTAACCCTAATTGTAACTCTGGATCAACCCTAACCCTAACCTCTAACCCTACCCCAAACCCTAGCACAACCCTAACACTAAACCAAACCCTATACCTAACCCTAGCACAACCCTAAAACTAACCCTGACCCTAACCTCAGCTCAACCCTAACCCTAACCCTAACCCTAGCACAACCCTAAAACTAACACTATCCTTAACCATAACCGTAGCACAAACCTAACCCTAACCCTTACCATAACTCTAACCCTAGCACAACCCCAACCCTAACCCTAGCACAACCCTAACCTGAACCTTAACCCTAGTACAAACCTAACTCTACCCTGAACCCTAGCACATACCCTAAACTTAACTCTAACTCTAACCCTATCACAACCCTAACCCTACCACTAACCCTAAACCTAAACCTAACCCTAACCCTAGCACAACCCTAAAACTAACATTAGCCATAACCAAAGCACAATCCTAACCCTAAACCTAATCCTATACTTAAACCTAACCCGAACACTAGCACAAACTCAACACTAACCCTAGCCTAACCATAACCCTTACCCTAGCACAAAAATAACTTAACCCTTCTGCTAACCCTAGCATAACCCTAACCCTAACACTAACCCTAACCTTAGCACAATCCTAAGACTAACCCTAACCCTAACTCAAACCCTAGCACTACCCTAACCCTAGCACAACCCTAAACCTAACCCTAAGTCTGGATCAACAATAATCTCAGATATCTACATTACGACTGGATATGTGGTCCCCCCGAAAGGGGTTGTGACCCACAGGTTGAGAACCACACTGATGTACAGAAATGATGAAACATTTGCTGTCACACATAACCTACATAGCTGCATGCGGGGGAAGAGGGACTTGTAGACCCAAGCTTTAGGAGAGAAAATGGAGTTCACTTGCTTAAACAGCAGTGAAAGCTCAGACAAGGAAAGATTGATACTTGCTTTATTCATGGCCCCCAGAACTGAGTCTTTTTCTCTTTTCCCCTGCAGGAGTGCCTTCAGAATCACAGCATGGCACAGGTATGTCATGTAATTTATAAACACAGGACTAATTTATAAGCATGGGACTTTAATATTTAGAATCCCTCTTGTTTAGAAGACTGGGTCAAAAAAAAAAAAAAAAAGCTCTGAGAACTGGAGCTTTGCCTTCTTTGCTTTGCTCAAAGAAAGAGCAGCTAAGAATTTATCATCTTTCTGTATATTTACCTCTGCTTAGGTCATGCAACCCTCGCTGCACTCTTGACCTGTGGTATCATTATATTGGTCCTTCTCATCACATTCCTCTTGTGGACTCTGAAGCGAAGACAGATTCAGCGGCTTAGAGGTCTGAGTCAAATTACAATCCCTCTAGCATATCCACAGGATAAAGGGGTTCTTGGAATAATTATAACTAAATTGACAAATCACTCAAGAAGAAGTGAGCAGAAAGCAGGGGACTATAAGAGGTTTAAATAGTTTCTCAGAGTATAAAGGGCAAAATTTCCTGGTGGAGGGAATCTCTGACTCCCATAATGTACTCTTCATTCTATCTGTTTAATTGGTATAGTTAATTAATAGAACTAGTAGTTCAGACTGAATAGACAATTTATGATTTCAGATGAAGATTTGTCCATGTTTAATTTTCTCTAACCGTAATAACCTTAATGTAAAATTGTGTAATTCTATCAAACAATGTGCTATGGTCTGAAGGTAAAGAAAACATCTATAAAATGTTTTTGTTGAGTGAAACTTTGGGGTTAGTAGACTATAAATATTTGGCAATGTAGCATTCTAGTAACATGAATAAGAAACAGAGTGACACAGAGAAGACAGATTATCTGAAATAAAAGGGGGTAGAAGGCTTCTAAGAAGACTCTTGAAAAGGATTTTAAAGATAGTTCAGATAACTGGGCAGGAGACATTCCAGATAAAGAGGGCTTGACCAAGTGCAGGGAAGCAGAAAGAATGACACAGTTGTACTCGCCGAACGAAGTGAGAATCAAAGAATGAAGCTGCTTTCCAGGCTAGCGTAGAGGAAAGGAGCGTGTTATGAAAGCCTTGTATCTGAGGGCACAAGAGCGCCTGGTCATTAGAACAGCGTGTGAGGGAGGTGAAAGGGTCAAGCTGTACTTTAGAGACAATTTTCAGCAACAACATTCCTGAAAGGTTGGAGTAGGGCCACACCATTGACAGGAACTGCACTGTGGAAAAGCTGAGATGAAAAATAGGAAGGGCCTTCTATTGAGAATGGAGGGGAGAGGATGCACTTTCAGTTAATCACAGAGGATGTTGGCTTCCTTGGTAGGAGAATGGGTTGTTACGTCATGGCAGTAGAGGCGGCTGTCTGTCTGTCTCATACAAGTAGGCTGGTTGAAAACAACGGCATAGGTAAAGACTGAGTTTTAAAATTCCTGATGAAAGGCTCAGATGAAGGACGGGAGGTTTGATGGGTGTCCACTGATCCCTAACCCAGGACTTTATTGTCAGTTTCCTCAAGAGGAGAGATTTTGATACATCAAGTTCAATACCAGGAGATGGATTCAAAGGTGGATGATCTGGACCTGATAAAGTCCTCGGGTCAGTGGACTGTAATAAAAGTCTAAAGCTTGGAGGGAAGGGGAGGGGAGGGAAGGGGAGGGGAGGGGGTGGGTGGGAGGGGGGAGGGGAGGGGGAGAGACTACTAGGAGAGGAAGGAGAATTCCTGATCAGGATGTAAAGTAAATAAATGAATTAATGACAAAGAAAAAAAGAGCTTCTCAGACACTTGAGGCCAGGGCTGGCCTATATTCCCAGTTATTTCCTTATTCCTTCCAGAAAATTCCAATGACTTTAAAGCTGATGGACTAACATCTCTGTCTAAACATCTTTCAATTCCTGAAATAAAAAAAGGGAGCCATTCAGAGGCACACTGAAAAGGAAAATGATAATTTATAACCCACTGAGGTGAGTGAGAATTTGTTCATTGTTATAAAACAGGCACACTCCTTTTGAGACAGACAACCTCCCTATTATTAGAAAGAAAAGAATGCATGCACATACATGTTTCCAGGTGAATACGAATATGTGTATATGCTTATAAATATGTATCTATGTTCAGATATAGATCAACCCTTTGTAAATATGACTCAACCTTTGCTAAGATGTGTGTGTTTGCTTATCAAGAATAATAATACATCCATAAGGCTAAGGAGAAACAGGGTAAGTAAATATTTTGAAACATTACAGGGATCCTGTCAGGCATTTATAGCTCTTGTATAATTCATGCTATGATAAAGATTGTACAAGACACTACAAATGGCAGAAAATTCATCTAGAAGGTTTGGGGAGGTTATAAGAAGATGTGATATTTACATTAAATCTTAATCATGGTTGAAATATGAACCATGCCAGGGGAAAGGAATACTACAGACAGAGTCTAGAGGCGTAGATGCTAGCCACACCCTGAGGAAACAGGCTCGCACAGGGATGCATACATCGTTCACATTTATTATTTATTGTTGGCATTCACATTTTGCAATTATCATCCATGAAGAAAGTTCAACCAAAATATGATCTGTGAGAAATTTAAGCGGAGGCAAAGACTAGAAGATAGAACTCATGGAAAGTTTACAAACCGGAAAGTGTTGGGCTGGGGTGTGGCTGAGGGGTAGAGTGCTTGTCTGGGTGTATCAGGTTCCGAGCTTAACCGACAACACTACAGTGAGAAGAAAGACAAGGACCTACGCTGTGAAACGTTAATGTCCACACAATATGAGGAATTATATACGCTTAAAGTTCTTAAAATTTCCACATTACATGAATAGTAGCTAGTGTTAATGTATATCTATATACATTATACATATACATACACACATATACACGTATCTAAGGAACAGCTGAGCAAAGTTGCGTAAAGCCACTTTTCACAAAAATGAATTGAAATAAAAATCTGAAGACCCTGGAGAGATGGCTCAGTAGGTAAAGTGCCTGTAACAAAGTAACCCCAGCGCTGGAGGAGACAGGCATTCCCCTGAGGCTCACTGGCTAACCAGACTAGCCAAATCACTGAGCTTTAGGTGCCGTGAGAGACCATGCCTCAAAACACTTTAGGACGGAGAGCGACACAGAAGAGATACTTGACATCCATCTTGGCTTTCCGCCCACCTGCACAGACCCACGCTAGCAAGGGCCCCCACGACCGACAAAAAAGTAAACAGATAAACACAATCAGTAGAAAATTTTTAATGTTCAAATTCAACAGTATGTCTAGAGAATTCAAATTATGGTTTGCAGCGAGGTCTTCATAGAAATCAGACTAACAAACGTTTAAAACAGCATCAAGACGTACTGACAAGGATTAAGAGAAAGGGACAGTCTAAATGACTGCTGCTTGGACAGGCACCATGGCCTCTAGAGAACAGTAAGATAACAAAGAGCTTCATAAGTCCTTTGACTCACCCTATGAACCTGTGAGGGTTCTGTCCACACAGATGAAGTCACTCATGCAAAGACCTTTGTCAGAGGCTACTTCACATTGTTGTTTGTCACTAAGGGACAATAAATAAACAAATAATAAAGTCAATGTCAACAGGCAGTACAATGGCTGGAAGGCCTCTGGTTTAACTCACAAATGTTAACATGATTCTGCTCATATGGATCATGTTATCTGTAACATTAAATAAAATGTTTGCATCATGGACTGAATGCATCTCTGTATAGGTAGAAATTGTTACAGTTTGAACTACACTGGGGACATGTTAATGTCCTGAGGTGACAGCTCACCTCCTGAGACAGCATCCACTGTGTGACAGCCGCTGTGGAAATGGCATTTTTTTCTTTGCTGGGTTTGTTTTTGCTTTGTTTCATTTTGTTTGAGGCGAGGAGGTCTTGCTTGTAGCCTAGGCGAGCATCACACTCGCTATGTAGACCAGGCTGGTTTCAAATTCAGAGCAACCCTCTGGTCTCAGCCTTGTGAGAGGTGAGCGCCGCCGCGCCTGACTTTTTGAATGTAATTTCTTGATCTTACTGTCACCCCATGGGACAAAAGCAGTTTTCACACACACAACAGTGTTGAAAACTATTTGCATTTAATTCTCTGCTCAGCAAGGAGAGTGTGTTTTCTCATACAAATGTGTTTGGACATATATGGAATGATAATGATGCGTTCCTCTATGTAAAGATAGAAATGACCTTTTTCTGCTTATGGGTTAGGTTGGCAATTAAGCAACCTTGGCATGGCAGACAGATAAATGGAACAAGAGCCCAGCCCATGCACAGATGACCACAACCGCATCTTCACACCGTCCTTTGTTTCCTGGTACTCTACTGAACCTGCAGAAACCGTATTTGTGAATGTGACCACCTAATAAAGATGAGAGATTTTTGAGGGGATTAAATAAACAATATTGTTACTGATTTAACTTTACTTGTTTGTTTTTGTTTGCTTGTTTGAGACAGGGTCTCACTATGTAGCCCTGGCTGTCCTGAAGCTGGTTATATAAGCCAGGCAAGCCTAGAATTCACAGACATCTCCTTGTCACTCTTCCCAAGTGCTGGGATTAAAGACTTGTACCACCAGAACCTGGTTTAACCTTTTTTGTCTTGGTTTTACAAATTTCTGTTTGAGTTTTTCTGACTTTTTTTTTTAGGGTTTCATGAATATACTATGATGTCTTTTCATTTGGCATGCTAATTTTCAAATAGTATACACTTTCTTTTAGTTGAGTTTAAGTAATAATTCCCTTGTAACCAAATTAAATGAGTTCATTTTCACTTTGGATTTTTTTAATAAAGGAGTATGGTCATTGTGATCACACAGCAGCTGTGACTGCATGTATGGGCCTTCAAAAATATATCTGGGTACAGGGTCTTTTCTGAGACTGACATTCAACCAAGGACCATGTATGGATATAACCTAGAACCTCTGCTCAGATGTAGCCTGTGGTAGCTCAGTAACCAATTGGTTTCCCATAGTGAGGGGAACAAGGACTATTTCTAACAGGAACTCAATGACTGGCTCTTTGGCCTCCCCACCCCCCAAGGGAGGAGCAGTCCTGTTAGGCCACAGAGGAGAGCTTTGCAGCCAGTCCTGAAGATACCTGATAAAACAGGATCAGATGAATGGGGAGGAGGTCCCCCCTATCAGTGGACTTGGCAAGGGGCACGGTGGAGATGAGGGAGGGAGGGACTGGGAGGGAATGAGGGATCGGGACACGGCTGGGATACAGAGTTAATAAAATGTAACTGATAAGAAAAAAATAAAATTAAAAAAAAAAAGAAATTTGAAAGGAATGAAAATGGAGGAAAGGAGAGGGACATGAGTGTAGGAGTGGGGACTAGTTGAGAAGAGGAAGTGGGAGGGGGACAAGAGGACAGTAGAGGACTCATGTGATCACAATGCATCTTCTCCAAATACGAGATGTCCCAAAATGTAACCTATAAAAAAGAGTGTAAAGCAAGCTCAACTACTGCCAATCCTTTTTGTTGGTATAATTCTGCTCACTGAAATGAAATGCATAAAAGTGCTTGGTAAAGAAAAAGATTCAGTAGTTTAGTTATTTGGTCCTCAGGAAAGTATCATGGAAGCTAAAACCATGCTAAACAATGAGGTTTCTATAAAATATACCTAATCAAATAAACTCATGTTATGAAAACTATATTAACATAAATATAATGATAAATTTTAACATAAAGACAACATTATGTCACTCAATTCAATATTAAGCTTAGCGTCTATAAACTTGTTCAATACTCCAGTCTTTTCTGCAACTTATTTTCAAATTACTTACATTTAAAATTAGAAACATATATTTATCATGAAAATATGTTTTTAAATAGTCATATGTAATGAGATGGCTCTAGCAGGCTAATTAGTAGACATTACTTTGCAAGAACCTGTTAAAACCTACTTCTCAGCTATTTTCAAGACCTGGATAAATTGTTACAAATCACAGCCACATGTTAAACAATGTATTTGTTGAATTTATTCCTCTTACCTGACTGAAATGCTGTAACTTTTTGCTAACAGCCTGTTCTGGCTAGGTTTATATCAACTTGATACAAGCTAGAGTTTATCTGAGAGAACCTCAGTTGAGAAAATGCCTCCATAAGATCCAGCTGCAGGGCATTTTCCTAATTAGTGCTTGATGGAGGAAGGCCCCCACCAATTAGAGATGGGTCTGTCTCTAGGCTGGTGGTCCTGGATCCTATAAGGAAGCAGGCTGAGCAAGCCATGTAAGCAGCCAATAAGCAGCACCCCTCCATGGTCTCTGCATCAGCTCCTGCCTCCGGGTTCCTGCTGTGTTCGAGTTCCTGTCCTGACTTAATTTCAGTGATGAACAGTGATGTGGAAGTGTAAGCCCAAACAAACCCTTTCCTCTCCAACTTGCTTTCAGTCATGGTGTTTCAACACAGCAATAGTAACCCTAAGTAGGACATGTCCTAACACATCTTAAAGACCCTCGTAACCATCATTCTTCTTCATTCAGAATTCAATATTTTCGCATTCTACATTTGCATGGGACTGCGTTTGAGGTGCTGTTTTTCCTTGCCAGGTTTATTTCATTTACTATGCCATTTTCTCAGAACCATCCATGTTACAAGTGAAAAGACCCCACTCCTTTTGAAGACTGATGAACTGTGTTGCACTGTGAATAAATACTACTTTTATTTTTAAACCCAATCAGGTGACAATAAATGTTTACATTTCTTCTGTATCTCGGTTGTTGTAATGCTGCCAGGACAATGGGTGTGTAGCTATCCCTTTGTCATACTAAATCAGAAGGGGAATTGGGAGGTAGAAGAGCCATTTGGAGGCTCTGAGGAAGCTTCATAAGAGCTGCGCTGATTTACATTCTCCGGAACAGGTCATTCCCGACCTTTACCAACACCTGTTTTCCTTTGGTTTGTTTGCTTTTTTTTTAATATGTTTATTTTTAAAATTAAAATATAATTATATCATTTCCCTCTTCCCCACCCTCCCTCTAAACCTTCCCATGTAGCCCTCCTTGCTCTCTCTCAAATTCATGAGCTGTATTTCTTTGTTGTTACATGTGTGTTTCTAAATACATAAATGCAACCTGCTCACTCTATATGAAGTTACCTTTATTTTTTATTAGTTTTTATTTTCTTGTATTGAGGGGTTTTTAGGATCTTATGTATTTCGAGTATTATCAGATATGCATTTCACAAATAACTTTCCCAGTTTTATTTTGTCACAAATATATTTGTTCTGTTATTTTTCTTTCTGCGTAGAATCTTTGTAGGTTGGCATTCTCCCTTCATTTATTCTGGTTTTGTGGACCATGATTTTGAAGTCACATCCTTTGTCTATGGGTGGGAGAGATAGCTCAGCAGTTGGGAGCAAGTACTGTTCTTGCAGAGGACCAGGGTCAGTTTCCAAACACCCACTTTGAGCATCACACAAGTACCTGGAACTAAAACTCCAGGGGATCCTGTAGATCCAATGCCTCTTCTGGCCTTCCTGGACACGGACACACACATGTGTGTGTACACATAGAGAGACATGTGCGTATCCACACATAGACACACACATAAACATATGATTAAAAGTAAAGTCTTTAAAAGAAATCATTGCCTCTGTCAATATCATGAGGCATTCCTGCTTTGCTTTCTTCTCTTAGTTTTGTGACCTGAAATTTTACATCTAAATTCTTTCTCCATTTGAGTCAAATTTTGATCCTGACCCTTCAGTTTACGAATGCCTAGTTTTTCCAATATTAATTAATTTTTTTTCTCTCCACCACGTGTCTATTCTTGGTGCCTTTGTCAAAAATCGATTGGCCATAAATATTTTCTTTCTCGGGTTCTATTCCCCATTCTATTGGCCAATGTTTCTAGACTCACAACAGCACCGTAATGCTTTGATTATGACTGCCAACTTTCTTCTTGTTCGTGTGTGTGTTGCTTTGTGTATGCTTAGCGAGCCTTCCACCGCCACGCTACATTTCCAGCTGCTTTTGCTATCTGAAGTCCCTTTGGAACAGTGTGGATATTTAAACAATGCCAGTTCTTCCCAGCCCTCCATGCGATGGCCCACATATGCCTATAACTCCAATTCTAAGGAATCTTCTTGCTTCCATGAGAAACTGCACACACACACACACACATAAATAACAATAAGTCATTTTTAAACATTCATTTACAAAGACTCTTATGGAAGCCATAAACATGGAACATGCTTATCTGGACCCTATTTCTTTTTCTTCTTTTTCTTTTCTTTTCTTTTTTTTTTTTTTTTTTTTTTTTTTTTTTTTTTTTTTTTTTTTTTTTCTATTTCTGTAGCTTTTCAGCCCTCTCATGGGTAACTTTTTTTTGTGATTTTTTTACATTTTGTTTTTAAATTTATTGCAATTTATTCATTTTGTATCCCAGCTGTAGTCCCCTCCCTTGCCCTCTCCCTCATCCCCTCCTTCATCCCCTCCCAATCCCACCCTCCTTCCCTCTTCTTCTCCTATGCCCCTTCCCTAGTCCACTGATAGAGGAGGTCCTCCTCCCCTTCCATCTGACCCTAGCCTATCAGGTCTTATGGGACTGGGTGCAATGTCCTCCTCTGTGGCCTGGAAAGGCTGCTCCTCCCTCAGAGGGAGTGGTCAAATAGCCAATCACTGAGTTCATGTCAGAGACAGTCCCTGTTTCCCTTACTAGGGAACCCACTTGGATACTGAGCTGCTATGGGCTACATCTGTTCAGGGGTTCTAGGTAATCTCCATGCATGGTCCTTGTTTGGAGTATCAGTCTCAGAAAAGACCCCTGGGCTTTTTGATTTTGGTTCTGTTGCTCTTCTTGTAGAGCTCCTGTCCCCTCCAGGTCTTTCTCTCTCCCCCTTCTTTCATAAGATTCCCTGCACTCTGCCCAAAGTTTGGCTGTGAGTCTCAGTATCTGCTTTGATGCCCTGCTGGGCAGAGTCTTTCAGAGTCTCTCTGTGGTAGGCTCCTGTCCTGTTTCCTGTTTTCTCCCTCTTCCGATATCTATCCTGTTTGCCTTTCTGGAGAAGGATTGAGCATCTTACCCAGGGTCTTCCTTCTTGTTTAACTTCTTTAGGTGTACAGATTTTAGTATGATTATCCTATATTATATTCTAATATTCACTTATAAGTGAGTATATACCGTGTGTCTTTCTGCTTCTTGGATACCTCACTCAGGATGATCTTTTCTTAGTTCCCACCATTTGCCTGCAAATTTCATGATTTCCTTGTTTTAAATTGCTGAGTAGTATTCATTGTGTAAATATACCACAATTTTTGTATCCATTCCACAATTGAAAAACATCTCGGTTGTTTCCAGATTTTGGCTATTACGAATAAAGCTGCTACGAGCATGGTTGAGCAAATGTTCTTGTATACTTGAGCATATTTTGGATATATGCCTTGGAGTGGTATAGCTGGATTTTGAGGTAGCA